GGTGATCAACATACCTAAACCTGGGAAAGACCCAAGGTTCCCCCAAAACTACAGACCCATAAGCCTGTTGACGGCATTGAGCAAGATTGCGGAAAGGGTAATCGAACGAAGACTGAAGAACGAAACCGAAGAACTCCGAGTAGTTCCAGACGAACAGTTCGGATTCCGATGCGAGCATTCAGCAGAGCACCAGGTCCTAAGGCTGGTCGAGATGGCAACGAAATCGTTCCAGACTCGGCGGGCCGTGGGAGCTGTGTTCATGGATGCCGCAAAGGCGTTCGACACTGTTTGGCATGACGGACTGATCTACAAGATGGTAGACCTCGGATACTCAAAGGGGATGATCCAACTGGTGAAGTCCTACTTGAAGCACCGAAAATTCCGAATTAGGATCGGTAAAACAACTTCGACGACGAGGACTGTGGAGGCAGGAGTACCGCAGGGAGCGGTTCTATCACCCCTGCTGTATGCAATCTACAGCTCGGACATCCCGAAGACTCCTCAAACGCAACTGTATGTGTATGCGGACGATACAGCATATGCGGCAGAAAGTACGAGACCCCGCATGGTTACGGAATATCTGCAACGAGCGACCACCAACCTAGAGGAATGGTGCATCAAGTGGAAGATCCGCCTCAACCCCGAGAAGACCGAAGCGGTACTGTTCCGAAGAAATCGAAGATTACCTCAGACCAAAATAAAGATGACGACCACCAGAATGGAGAGAGGCTGGAGAAGAGATGAAGAGGTTGAGGTCGACTGGAAAGACTCCAGCACATACCTTGGAGTCAAGATGGACCAGAAACTCACTTGGAAGAACCATGTCGAAGACCGGGTGCAGAAAGTGAAGATGGCACGCTCCAAACTAAGACCCTTAACGGGCAGAAGAAGCAAAGTGTCACTAAAGAATAAGACCATCATGATTCAGATGGTGCTGCTACAAATCATGACTTACGCAGCAGTAGCTTGGGGCTACGTTTCCAAAACGATGAAGAAGAGGCTCCAAGCTCAACAAAACATGGCACTCCGTGAAGCGGTGGACGCACCGTGGTATGTACCTAACAGAGTGCTATATGACGAACTACGACAGGTACCGGTCGTAATCCAGATGAAAGAGAGGGCCCGAAAGTTCTTTGAAAAGAACGAAAGACATCGAAACGTGCTGATTAGAGACGCCTTGGATTACGACCCAAGAACAATAAGGCGTCACAAAAGACCGAAAAGCCAGCTGCAACAAGAAGATATTTGGCCCTAGCAGCTGATGAGGCCAAAGAAAAGGGGAGAAGACCGACAATAGTTGTACACCCAAGAGGGGAAAGAACAGCCCGTGTACAACGGGTGGACAAAAAGAAGCCTGTCGATTGAGGTGGCCAGAGTCAAGCACGGACTCGGGGCTAACCTCAGGAGACGAATGACTTACAAAAATGACTGACTGACGACGACTGACTGACTCCAGTCGACGAGGAAAGAGCGAAGGCTCACCAACCTTTAGGAGGGGCTTAGGTCAAAAGCCCCCAGCGCAGGACCCCCAAGAAAAGAGGCCGTCCATAAAGTCGAGAACCGACAGTTGGAAGAAACGTCCACCACGCGCTTCCGCGACGCGTGCGCGATCGAGTCAAATTTCGGGAAAAAGGGGCAAAATTGGGGAAGGGGGGATAGCTCGTTCGGCAGCACACACTCGGGGAATGCGCAAGCGGCCTGAACCACGCAGCGCCACTCCAGGCCTTTGGGCGGGAGTGGGGGGAGGAGCAGATTGCTCTTCCCCCCACTCCTCAAGGGTTTGAGGTTGCCTGGAACAGGGGTGGTGGAGGGACCGCACAGGGTAGGAGGGTGTGTGTGTGTGTGTGTTTACCTCCGCTCACTATAATATTGTCCGTTGCAATATTCACGTCGCTGCTATATAGATAATTTATATTCAGTTATCTGAAATTTAACGTAATGGCGCGTACCAAGCAGACGGCTCGTAAATCCACCGGAGGTAAAGCTCCCAGGAAGCAATTAGCCACGAAGGCTGCCCGTAAAAGTGCTCCTGCTACTGGCGGAGTTAAGAAACCTCACCGTTATCGTCCGGGAACTGTGGCTCTCAGAGAAATTCGTCGTTATCAGAAAAGTACCGAATTGTTGATCAGAAAATTGCCTTTCCAACGGCTGGTCCGTGAAATAGCGCAAGATTTCAAGACCGATTTGCGATTCCAAAGTTCTGCTGTAATGGCACTCCAAGAAGCTAGCGAAGCGTACCTGGTCGGACTATTCGAGGATACGAACTTGTGCGCGATCCACGCTAAGCGAGTAACGATCATGCCGAAAGATATACAGCTGGCAAGACGTATTAGGGGCGAACGTGCCTAATGGAATTGACGGATTTACTATTTGCCGGAAAGAGAGAGAGAGAGAGAGAGAGAGTACGGCGTGCGATAATAGGTTATAAAAAAAAAAACGGTTCTTTTCAGAACCATCATATAGTATGTTCAGAAAAAGGGGATCGTGTATTATGTTAAGTATATCAGATTGTTGTTTGTACGCGTGCAATTTCGACACTATTATCGTGTATGCAAAATAGCGCTAAATGGTTATACGATAGTCGCTAGTTATTACCCGTTATCCTATATCGAAGGATTGTGGTGCTTTGTAGTAAACCGTTACATTGATATTATTCTAATAACGTACGAATTGTATGTATGTGTATGGAAGTAAAATAACTTATAAGTAGCATGTGATTATAATGTAGATAATTCGACATAATATAGATATTTTGCCGTATATATTGCTTAGGCGTTTAGGCAGGCTGTTAGCGTGTAATACGTAACATTAGGTACTTTCACGTAGATCAAAAGTCAGTAATGCGTACGTCTAATAATTAATATGTAGTAAGAGATGAATTTATAACTCGATCGCTCGTATATTATATATAATATTTTTCTACTCTGGCTTATTTATTACGAATAATAGATTGATGTCTCATATTATTATCTATTTTGTCATATTACAGGAGTAATGTTAAAATTATCGCGATATATTTCGCGACTGTGCACGTTCGGATGTACGCCAGACATACCTCCGTATAATTGCGATTATCTAAAATACCTTATCCATTAGCCGTATACCGACAGTATAATTGTATTACGAATAGTCGTAGATTGTTAATTTCATGAAATATCTAATTATATAACGTATTCGTATAATATAAATTAGATCAAAAAGCCGGACGATTAGGTCCAAAGCGGATACCTTGCACGTTTCACCTTATAATTTTATCGTGTACGTAGCGTACGTGATCAAGTCGCGAAGTTAAATGTGTATTTCAAATTATGCAGATTTCATATTCGTTCAGGTTTTAGCTGTTGCTCGTATGCAATTATATCAGCGACTCAAAAAACCAACAGATACGACCGCAGGCTTGGCAGAATTGAAGCCGTCGAAATCGGTTTCGCTGCAAAGTCGGAGCGTTCAATGTTCGGTCCGACCGAAATGACTTGGGTCACGACGCTGAATTTACCTCTCACATTCATTCGACATTCGTTCTCTTAGCGAGATCGTCGATCAGTGATTGCAAAAGATCGCGCGTATACAATAATCTGTCTCCTCTTCACGACTCGTAAACATGGCAGATACGGAAAACCAGAATTACGCCGCGTCGGCTACGGCTACCGCGAATTCTGCGTCGCCGACGTCGCAGTCGTCTGCGAAAAAGGAGAAAAAACCGAAGAATCCGAGGGCGAAGCCGTCTCATCCTCCTACTAGCGAAATGGTCATCAACGCAATTAAAGGATTAAAAGAGCGTGGCGGGTCGTCTCTGCAAGCTATCAAGAAATACATAGCCGCTAATTACAAAGTAGACGCTGAGAAAGTTGCGCCTTTCATCAAGAGGTACTTAAAATCGTCCGTCGCGTCTGGAGCTTTAGTACAGACGAAAGGCAAAGGAGCTTCCGGATCGTTCAAGCTAGCTTCGTCATCGGCTGGCGGAGCGTCGAAAACTTCATCATCGTCAGCCGCAAAGGTTGGCGAAAAGAAGAAGAAATCCGCGACCGGCTCAAAGAAGAGCGGAACCGTAGCTAAGAGAGCTAGCGGTGCGAAATCTGCGAAGAAGGCATCTCCGAAGGCTAAGAAACCGGCGGTGGCCGGTGGTGCGGCCGAGAAGAAAGCTTCTCCAGCTAAGACAAAGAAAAGTGGGAAATCGGCGACGTCGGCTAAAGCTTCTTCTGCTGCACCTTCTGCAGCGGCTGCAAAAAAATCTCCTTCGAAGGCGAAGAAATCCAGCAAGGGAGCTCCGACCAAGAAGCCAAAAGCACCAAAACCGAAAACGGCGAAGGCTGCAACATCGCCAAAAAGGAAGGCCGCTTCACCCAAAAAGAAGAAATAAAAAAAAAAATTTAGACGTGTTGCAACGTCGTAGATTACGGCTACGTCGGTTCGAGACGTTATATTTATGCGAGAGGATGCTATACGTCCCCGCGGATTGAAAATGGCCCTTTTCAGGGCCACCACTATTACTATAAAAAGGATACAGAATATTTACGAATTAGCAATTTTGTATCGAAATATACATGTACAACTGCGGCTCGTACGTGCGTTGATGTTTTTTTTTTTTTTTTTTTTTTTATTAAATTCGAGTATTATTCGTTTACGATTAGGTATTTATAAGCAAGTGGTAATGTTAGGCGTCGTCAACATCGATATTTGCTTTTAAGGGTATAAATAAGTATGTATTGTGTTTAATTAAACGAATGAACGTTAAACAGTCGATTGCGTCGTAAGGATATCCCCTTTTTTTACGCTTTCGTTTACCATTAAATAATCCGGTCGGGTCTTATATCAGACGTTATTGCTTTAGTGGTGTATGTAAATCACGAATAATCATCTGGTATTCAAGTACCAATAATATATATGTTGCGCGTACGGTGATATCATTATCTTTACTTGATAACTTTAGTGGTTCTGAAAAGAACCGTTTTTATGTTGTAAGTTGTTGTTGATGTTGTTGTTGTCGTCGTAGTTACATATTACTTCGAACTGGTGTACTTGGTTACGGCTTTGGTACCTTCGCTGACGGCGTGCTTGGCCAATTCTCCTGGTAGCAATAGTCGAACGGCTGTTTGAATTTCTCTGCTAGTTATCGTGGCACGTTTGTTGTAATGTGCCAATCGGGATGCTTCCGCTGCGATACGTTCGAAAATATCGTTGACGAAGCTGTTCATGATGCTCATCGCTTTGCTGGAAATACCGGTATCTGGATGTACCTGCTTCAGCACTTTGTAGATGTAAATTGCGTAGCTTTCCTTCCTCCTGCGTTTCTTTTTCTTATCAGACTTGGAAATATTTTTTTGAGCCTTACCGGCCTTTTTAGCTGCTTTACCGCTAGTTTTGGGTGGCATCGCGTTTCGATTTACACAAAAAGTACGATCTTTACTGACACAATATCGTGATCTATAATGGAAAGGTGTGCGGATAAACGGCGAGCTTTAACAGCCACGACGTTACCGACATAGACTCCGCCCCTTACGGGTGACCGACAAACGAAAACGGTGATTGGTCGGAGTAGTTATATAAATATACTCGTACCTAAAGACATTGCCATTCTATTCTATTAATTCGGTCAACGACAGCAGATTGTAGTCGTCGATTCGCAAGTCAAAAAAGAAAATAATAAACAAATAAACATGTCCGGACGAGGAAAAGGCGGAAAAGTGAAAGGAAAGGCAAAATCCAGGTCTAGTAGGGCCGGTTTGCAATTCCCTGTAGGTCGTATACACAGATTATTGCGTAAAGGAAACTATGCCGAACGCGTCGGTGCCGGAGCTCCTGTGTACCTAGCCGCCGTTATGGAGTACTTGGCAGCCGAAGTGTTAGAGTTGGCCGGCAACGCTGCTCGCGACAATAAAAAAACCAGGATCATTCCACGTCATCTGCAGTTAGCAATCAGGAATGATGAAGAATTAAACAAGTTACTTTCCGGCGTAACCATCGCCCAAGGCGGAGTTCTTCCGAATATTCAGGCTGTCCTATTGCCGAAAAAGACAGAGAAGAAAGCCTAAATAATAATAATAATAAGAAAATAACGTCAAAACTAGAAATCGGCCCTTCTCAGGGCCACACAATTCGTTTGTTGAAGAAAAAATAGAGATCATCGGATCAGGAAACAAAAAAAAAAATCACGTAATATTTTGCCGATATTCCTTCATGCTGTTTGGGATTCAAGTAACAACAGCCCAATAACCGCATGATACAGTGTGATGTTACGTTTCTACGATACGGATCGTGACATGGAAAATGCAACAAATAATACCAATTCTTACTTACCGTAACATTTTATGTTTACCTAGCATCGATGGGTTGTGGAGCTCGACTATATGGAGATACCTTGGAGGGATAGTTACTTTCTAGAGGTACTGTCGGAATGATAGAACTTTATTCCAACGCAATTTTACATACAATGCCGCTAGTGTCTATAACGACAATCACGTTAACTCTCCCTCTCCCCCCCCCCCCTCTCTCTCTGTCTCACACATTGCTCTTCCCCCCACTCCTCAAGGGTATGAGGTTGCCTGGAACAGGGGTGGTGGAGGGACCGCACAGGGTAGGAGGGTGTGTGGTGTGTGTGCGCGCAACATCAGTTCCGAGCTAGCAGCCGTTGCGAGTGTATACTTGCACGACTGCGACACACCCGGACATATTGAGCAATCTTATTGCGATAGATTGGTTGTTTGTCATTTACGATGGCGAAAATTGAGAAGCTGGCTAACCAGCTGAAAGAGAAGAAAGATGCTGTCGCCATGCTGGCAGAGCAGATGCGAAACCTGCAAGAAGCCTTCTTGCAAGCACAACAGGAGATCGAGGACCTGAACGGGAAGCTCCGCAGGGCCAAGAAGAAGGCCGCAAAGAAGACCGAAGAAGGCGAGGCAGAGGACCACCAGGCTACGTCGGACGAGATGGACGCTCAAGAAGAGGACACCCAACGGACCGAAGAGGATAGGACCACGACAGAGACAGCAAGCAACGACGACACCGATTTCAGTGTCGCCACCAGACGGAAAAAAAAAAGCGGGTGCGAATTTCCTCCTCCGAAGACGAGACGCCAAGGCAGCCAAAGATGCCAGCTGCCGCCACCAAGAACGAGTCCTAGAGCAGCCAGGACCGCCGATGCAAACATGTGCCAACTGATCCAGAGCTATCTAACACAAAGACGGTTCGCGGTGAGGATTGGTACATGCCATTCAACACGACGACAGCTGGAAGCAGGCGTGCTCCAGGAGTCAGCCTCAGTCCCCCCTGCTCTACAACATCTATACTCATGACGTACCGAAGACAGCTCACACAATGCTGGCCCTATATGCAGATGACATTGCTATCGCCGCTAAGCATCGACGACCCGAGATTATCCGTAGCAGACTACAGGATGAACTGGACTGTTGCGTGAAATGGAAAATCCGTATCAACGTCCAGAAGACGCAGGCAATCTTCATCCAACGAAGAAGGATTGCAAGACCTCTCGAAGCATCCATC